AAATCTCTCCACAGTTACTTTCATTAATCCATTTTTGAATTTAAAATCTTTTCTCTTTTCAATTAATGATTTCAAGTTATTCAAGAGACAAATTTCTTTCAATCACTTCAATTTTCGATTTCTTTTATTTATTTTTTTAAAATTACTGAATCTTTTACTCCCGGTCTCTTTATGGAAGAGAGGTGAAAAAACCTTGCTAATGCACAAAGTTCATCTTGGAGTGCATTTGGATTGGTTCTAGGAATTTCTAATGGCGGTCTTGATACACTTCATTCTGTTGGTTTGATCTTTCAATTTTTTGGGCTAACTTTCAATGTATCTCTCTTATTTTGATTCTTAAATTAGTCTTTTTTTTAGTGTTATCACTGATCCGATACATCACTGTTACAATAGTGTTTGTTTTAATTCAGTGTATCATCTTCATATTCAAGGTATTGATACATAACTCTAATGTTGAATCTTCGATTAGTGTTTATCATGTTCAATATAAATGTACTTGATACATAAACTTTGTGTTATGTATCACACACCAAAAAATATGCTATTTGGAACAATTATATGTATAATGTTTTTAAAATAAAATAAAATATAGTGTTTCTCAAACAAAATAAGATACATACCAACAAGGGTTGTGGTGGAGTGATAAATACTCCTTCATTCTTAACCAATAGATCTCGGGTTCGAGCCCCCTTGGGTATATAGTCACCTTTGTTGGGGAGCGCTTTACCCCCCAATGTGGGACTTCCCGGAGCGAATCCGAATTTAGTCGGGCTCCAATGTGGGTACCGGACATCGGGTGAGAAACCAAAAAAATAAAAAATAAGATACATAAATAATAATGTATCATGCACACATTTTTTAGGCATGATATGTAAATTCGAATTCATACTAATTGTATCTGATACATAGCAATTACCAAACAATAATGTAGCCATCTCAAACCTAAAATCTTATGGGCAACACTTTCTTATTTAATGTATCTAGTAGAAATACAATACTTATCAATTTAAATTGAAAGGATCTTCATGATGTATCTTCTCAAATTTTTTGATAATTTTGATTCAAAATTGAAAGGATATTCGATGAACTAGGAGAATAATTTTGAAACTCAAAATTTTTAACAATTTTGAATCAAAACGGAAAGGATCTTCAATGAACTGGGAGAAGAATTTTAAATCTCAAAATTTTCGACAATCTTGAATCAAAATTGAAAGGATCTTCGATGAACTTGAAGATTCACAAAATAAATCGTTTGTCCAACAACAATTTCATCACTTTTGTATTCTTCATAACTCATCTCGCTTACCCAAATTTCGACAAAAGTTTTTGAATCAAATATTAAAGGTTTCTTCGCTAAATAGGGGGCCCAAGCAATTTGAAAATTTGAATTTCTTCGTTCTGTTAGGATTTATCTTTGTATGATTGAAAGTATAAGAAGAAACGTAAGAAGATCAAAATATTCATTATATATCGTATGAAATTTTCGGCTAATGGATGAAACAGAGAGAACGATGAACAAGAAGAAGAAATTTATTTTTTGAATTTTTTGGTTTATTGCACTATATGATTAAATTCTTGACAATAATTTGAAATGAAATAGAGCAATTTATGAGATCTTAATTTGATTTTCAGTTTTTTTTTTTCCTTAATTAGTGCAACAGATGGATACTATGAGATCTTAATTTGATTTTTCAGCTTTTCTTTCCTTAATAAGTGCAACAAATTGATACATAATGTTATAGAGCAATTTATGAGATCTTAATTTGATTTTCAGTTTTTTTTTTTCCTTAATTAGTGCAACAGATGGATACTATGAGATCTTAATTTGATTTTTCAGCTTTTCTTTCCTTAATAAGTGCAACAGATTGATACATAATGTATACACAATAATATATCTGGATCCTTAATTATGTATCCGAAATGTCTAAATAACATGAGATTTGTGTAATTAGAAAAAGAATAGGGATATAAGGTGATTTAGATTTTACACTATAAGATTTATGTAAGTTATAAAATATTATTAAAGAACCCTGCTCTTTTTTTCTTTCTTTTAAAATCACTTTAACAAATAAAAATATAGGAAATAATTTTTTTCTTCTTAATCTCATTTTTATCAATTAAAATAGAATAACTTCATGTACGCTTTCGACGGATAATATATGGCATACATATAAAATCATAGAATATCCATCATTAATTTTTATTTATATCATGATAAATAATAATTATAATAAAATAAGAAATAATTTTATTTTTTTTTGAATTGAAGTAGGATAAACATTTACTTATTTAAAAAGATGTTATTAGAAAAATAATGTGTTATAAAAAAATAAAAAATATATTTATTTGGAAAATGAACAGTTTTGCTATTAAATAACAATGAGAACATTTTTGGACCAAAAGATTGACTGCAGTGACTTTTTTTTAACCAAAATATTTACGGCAAAGACATTTTAGAGCAAACTATAAACATATGATATTTTTTCATTTCGCATAGTTTAAGAATATTTATAAAAAAATTTCCTTTTTATTATAACAATATTTTGCTTAGCTAACGAACACAAGAAAAAACAATTTTCTTTGTACCGAGCGCGTACATTGATGGCTCTTTTCCAAAAGGAGCATAAGGGAATACTTGATCATGAAATAGTGGGTATATGAAAAAAAAAATAGTTTTTATTTTTAAAATAAAAAATAACATTGAAAAATTAAAATTGTTTTGACAATAAATTTTAATTTGAATTGTTTTAAAAAATTTTAAAGTAATTTGATAGGAAAAAAGGCTCTCTCTCCTCGTTACCTACCCCTCCGGGCTCCGGGTATTTTCATATATCGAACAGGTCATTTTGGGACCAGTACGTATTTAAGGCCCATCTTTGAACCCATACTTGAGGGAGTGTTTGAGAGATATCCATTCTGGGAAAGTAATAGTAGAACCACATACGTAATGTGTTGAAAAATGGATAAAAGTTAATACTCCCTCTATTATTCTATCATTTTAAATAATAAAAAATTCTCAAAAATTTACTTAGAAAATATTGTAGTGATACTATTCCTACGTGGATAAAGCAAGATCTGATTTTCAACATCTTTGTCAAAAGTTTGAAAAACGAACATTTTTGCCATTATATAACAGTAAGGACATTTTTGGACCAAAAGATTGACTGCAATGACATTTTTGAACCAAAGTAATGAAGGTAATGACATTTTTGAGCAAACTATAAATAGATGATATTTTATTCATTTCACATAGTTTAAGGATATTTTTTATTCTTTTTCCTTTTTATAATAATATTTTTTGCTTAGCTAACGAACAAAAAAAAGGTTTTTTAGTACCGAACGCATACATTGATGACTCTTTTCCAAAAGGAGCATAAGGGAATACTTGATCATGAAATAGTGGGTATATGAGAAAAATCGTTTTTATTTTTAAAATAAAAAATAATATTGAAAATTTAAAATTATTTTGACCATAAATATAAATCTGAATTGAATTTTTGAAAGTAATTTAATAGGAAAAAATGCTCTCTCTCCTCGCTACCTACCCCTGTGGGTGTTTCTTATATATACTAGATAGGTAGTGCCCGTGCTAAGCACGGGCCCAACATTATTATTTAGAAATATTTTTTAGGCTAATTTCAAATATACAAAATAATATAATTAATTTACAATAAATATAATCATACTTTATTTACATGCAAAGTAGCAAAAAATCATAAAAGATATATAGTACTAATTATACAATATAGTTTGTCTAAAGTCATCAAAAGTATACACTAATTATATAATATAGCTTATTCATACATGAGCTATACACTGACCACACTGATACACTCAAAAAACTAAAAAATAATGTATACAATGATTTATTCAATTTTGATCAACTCAAAATCACCTCTAAACAATCTCAAATTTTAGATATGAAATCTAAAGTTAATCCTTTAGAAGGTATGTGTCTCTATCTACAAGAAAATGAGCCTGTATTGGAGTTTTGCCAAAGACAATGCTCTCAATTATTCATTTTCATTCACTTGACAGATAACTATCATATGTTACTCTAACTAAAAAGGCATAGGATGATATGGTCAAAGAAGATTTGTAGCTTTGTAATAGAAAATATCTCACATATAGCGTGTAAGTTCATACCTATGGCACTAATTTACACAAGGTGAAAAGGATAATCTTCTATTTCTTCCAATTACCATCATTTGGGAGACTACTACTTGGATAATCAATAATGCTCATGGAAGTCATTCTTAAACAATGTTCATCATTACATCCTAGGAAATTTGCTTAATATTTTTATTTGAACAGTGTCTACAAGTAATGAAACCACATTTAGCAATTGAAAAATTATTTGAACATAGAGTGTTGGATATCTGAATCATAAATAACAATTCAATATTTCATGATTAGTTCACTCAAGTAGATGCTAAGAATGCATCTTTCATGAGGATTAAGCATTACTTGCAAAGGTGGAGTAATTTATCGGTACTACAGAAGATGTACAAAAGTTACTAAGTTTTGGAAGCACTTGCAACTCATTGTAACTTGAGAATGAAGTTTATTTGCAATAGTGTGCTCACTCTCTTTTGTTATGTAGAAATTTGCCTAATGCATAAAATAGAGAGGGAGTTTCATCTTTTCCAAATGAAAAGCAGAACACATCATCCAAACAACTAACGTTATCCAGTCGAATGACAAACAGAACACATCCTCCAAACAACTAACATTATCCGGTTTTTCTTTTGACAATAGAATAGGTATTATATGTGGTTTAAGACAAAGATACTGCAGAGAATTAATTCCATGTCTGATATCACCTCCACTCACTTTGACTATCGAATCAGCACTAAATTCATGTTGCTCCTTTTTGCATATAGTTGCATATGATATTTAGCCTGTATTACAATAAAGGTGTTCATTTCTATTTCGCAGATTTCAGTAATTACTCACTACTTGTACAATCATTGTCACTTTGTCAGTGAAAGATGCAAACATTCACAAAAATGAATATTTTTTACATACTAAGTTTTGGTTTTATACAAACACAGCACACTATTCACAAGTGTCTACACTAAATTTAACAAAGTATAGTATCTAATATCTATATGTGATTTACCTCTTCCACCTATTTTCATTTTTCATTTCCATATTTCTAACCTAGTATGTATAATTAGTGATTCTAAGAGATTGACTGAAGTATCTAGCTCTACCAATATGGATCATATAAGAGAGTTTTTTCCTTCCTTCCACACAGAAGGTTGTATAAATATATATTTTCAACATACCAATGCAGGTTTACATGCCACACCATAGGCATAGAGACACAATTCACAATTATTGTACACTAAAAAAATTAAAACTTCGTTGTGGCGGCCTAGTATATGAGATTGGTGTGGGTTATCCAAATTCAGCTATATATGTCACATTGAATGATCAAGCTTTTCACCGGCACAAGCTTTGTCTCCGCTGCATCAAATCAAGGAGATACGTTGTCGATTCAATGAAAATACGGAGCTATATCCAAAAAAAGAATTGAGTAAATACATGATAATCATGTGTAAAAACGTAACAGAGGATTAGCGTCACCCGCTTGTTTCAACAGTTTCCCAAGAAAGGCCCCAGGATACGCAACATATATATCTTAGTTAAACAACTTAGTTTCAGAGAAAGTAAACAACGTAAGTTGTCCTATGTTAACACAAGCATACAATTTTATACGTATGCCAATTTAGCGGTTACCATATTTTCAACACACTAATATCACTTTGAGGAACAAAGTAGGAACATCTCATCTTCGATAGCTACTGATTAATTCATAACTACAAGTATGTTCCAAAGTAAAGAAAAAATTAACTGTTAATTTTGGGGAGAAGCAACAATAAATAGGCAGATTGGATATTTTTTTATAAATCTAGAAAATTTTCATGAGTAATAACACTTTTGAGTTTTCGTAGGTGATCTCTTTCCAAATTCAAATAGATTTTAGGAACTTTTACATTCTAGAATGAAAAGTTTTGCGTTTATGACTGGAATTTCTTTTCGCATGTGCTAAATCGGTTATCAAAAAGAGTACTCATGAGAAAACAGAGCAAATTTGCTACATATTCGGATATTCTGTCGATTTTATTTCTCAATATCGTACTCAAAAGGAGAGTCCATAATTTTTATATTGGTAGTAGTGGAAATGACCTAAGCATTTCCAATCTCTACAAGAAGGTTATACACATCGTTTTTTATAACATACACTACACAACTCCCAAAACTCCTCAACGGTGAGGAACTCTCCCCTATGCCTTCTACCAAATTCATCTCTATATACATGAGTTCAAACTCCATAACAAAATGAATAACTTTTGTACAGTCAAAGACTAACAATAACTTGTAAACAACCAATTATATATATCAAGAAATGCAGTAATTCATACGAACATCATTAAAAGATCGAAATTTGATACACAAAAAAATAATTAAAAAAAATTCATCTATTATATAGATTAGAAGATTTTGAAAATGATAAAGAAGTTGAATGTCGTAGAATTTAGAGAGAATTTATCAAATTCAAGAGAAGAATAAAAAAAAGTATACAAATAACCCAAACAACAAACGCAGTTAGAACCTACAACTTGACAAGCCAGAAGATGAGCTCTTTGATAACAGGTGGTACCTACCATGTTTATTTAAAGCATGAATAGAAATTTCTAGAGAGAGATATTTTTGCACTTGTGTTTGATATTTCGCCACGTGGAGAGAAATTAGGGAACAAGTACAATAAAATTAAATATGGTGTCAATAAACGTTAAAGATAGTAGTTCCAGATTTGTGTACAATAATGATAACCATACTTCAAAAGATCATTCTAGATCTGCTATAAAAGAGTGTATCCTTTTCTCATTTTTGTTTTCCTTTCACGCTTTCTTAACAACAATTTTCCTTCAAAAACAATTAGGCAATTTATCGTTTCATTGAACAAACTACAAAGTAATCGAATTTTTTTATTAAAAAACAAAATATCTAGATACAAAGAAAGTTGGATAATTCTTATGGATTTTCATTAACAATACATTGCGAATTGAGATTGATTTTTTAAATCTTTTTCCCTTTTTCAAAAAATGGAGTAAAAGAGAAAACCATCGAATGTAGATGTGTTGTAAGCTTTGAAGGCAAAGTAACATATAGAAATTTAAAAGAAAAACGTACCTTTGATTTATTGAACGGAAAGAGTGCATTTTTAACAAAAAGATTGTTGTGAAAGAGAGGAAATTGAAGAGAGTGTGCTGAACAAGATTTTAATGGAAGCTCCTGCCTCCTTTGCAAGAGAGAGAGTGGGCGATTTGGAGGTTATATAAGATGAAAATACTATTTTACCCGTAAAGATTTTTTCTAAAGTGCCATTGATCTGCCTAGATTTGGCGTTTAGTAATTTTCTAATTTGTGGATCTGAGGCAGCCACGTAATTAGAAAAGGTACAAAATATCTTGAATGAAAGAAAGGCTAACTTGTGGTTTTCTTGAACCATTTGCCCTTTAAAATGAACATATTTACAATATTGCCAGTGGTATATATCGAACAGGTCATTTTGGGACCAGTACGTATTTGAGGCCCATCTTTGAACCCATACTTGAGGGAGTTTTTGAGAAATATCCATTCCGGGAAAGTAATAGTACAACCACATACGTAATGTGTTGAAAAATGGCTTAAAGTTAATACTCCCTCTATTTTATTATATTATCTTAAATAATAAACAAATGGAAAAATTGTATATAATAACAAACTATTAATTCAAATTAAATGCTATAAATATAGTTTGATTTAATTGTACCTCATAGTAAATTGTTGTTATTTCACCTCTCTCCTGGTGAATCTCGCTCGCCACTCTCGTTCTCTCCCTCGCTTCTCTCATTTTTTATACAAACACAAGTGTATAAAGTGCATTTGTGTTCGTATAAAGCGAGAGAAAATTGTATATATACATATATTTTCGTTCCCCTCTCTCCCCTCTCCCAGATCTAGCTCGCCACTCTCCCAGATCTTGTTGTCTCACTGGCCTCTCTCACTTTATACAAAAACGCAAATGTATAAAATGCGTGAAAATTGTATATATACATATATTTTCGTTCCCCTCTCTCCCCTCTCCCAGATCTAGCTCGCCACTCTCCCAGATCTTGTTGTCTCACTGGCCTCTCTCACTTTATACAAAAACGCAAATGTATAAAATGCGTGAAAATTGTATATATACATATATTTTCGTCCCCTCTCTCC